ATGGCTTCCCCGAAATATTTCTGGGAACAATAATTTGTTAATGGTGCTGGGAACTGTAATTCCCAGTGAGGAGTAAATTCTAGCTCCAGGATTCTTTGGGGAAATACATGTGCATTAAATGTGTGGTATAGGTGTGATCACAAACACGGATATTATTTGGTCACTGTTGTTCCTAACTTTAAAAAAGAAATGTTTCACATAACAGTTAGTGAAATGTGAATGAGTGGCTCAAGAAATGCGTCTTTTCTATTGAAATTACCATCTTGTGCATGCTTACTTAAGAGCATGTCCCTCTGAGCTCTGTGAAGCTGACTTCTGATTTGAAGTGCATGAGATTTATCTGATAGGGGTTTTTTTTTCTTCCTGTGCAAAGTGTTTGTACTTTGACAGAACTGCTGAGACTTCCCTGCAGAAGTTAGATTTTTCAACGCATGCTTTCAAAAGAGAGGGGGAGAGAGAGAGAGAGAGAGAGAGAGAGAGAGAGAGAGAAGAATGGGAAAGATTGCTTAAAATGGGCACAATCCTATTAAACAAGTGAAATCTTAATTTGTATTTGTATGAAATCAAATGGAGTGAATTATTTGGAGATGATTATAATTGTCATTGTCATCAACATAATCATCATCATTATTTTTTTGTAAGTCTAAGTGGCTGATGCAGGATGAATTATTTTAAAATATATATTCCCCCCACATGCCATTGTGATTCTCTCTTGTGGCAATGTGCTTGAAGCTAGTACTTGCTTTCTTCAGCCCCTGAACTTTTCACAATGTAGCTGTCATCTTTTAACAAGCATTTAAAAGGAAAGAGTCTAAGAATGGAAACTGTGGTGTTGTTTGTAATTTTAAAAATATTTCCCCATTTTTTAAAAAAAATACACTTCATAGCTTCATTTCTGCACAGTTGGGAAACAACAATGTAGAAGTAGGACCTGCAACAAAATGTTTAAGTATCATAGAATCACAGAATTGTAGAAATGGAAGGGACCACGAAGGTCTTCTAGTCCACCCCTCTGCAATGCAGGAATCTTTTTATCCAATGTGGGGCTCAAACCTACAACCCTGAGATTGAGAGTCTCATGATTTGTTGTCTGGAGTTCCAGTCAGCTATGCCCCTTTTCAGGATACTCCATTTCATTCCTTCTCCTTGCACCCAACAGGCAGTTAGGATTCTGCGGCCTCTGGGCATGCTCAGTCCCCAATGGTCTGTTTTTGTTTCCCACACACAAGGGCTTCTGAGAAAACACATCATAGGAATGCTTGCAGTAGGAACATAGATGATACGATTGCTGCTGCTATTAGTAATTGTTAGTTGTTTGTTCTTGTGCATTGTGTTGTTTTTATCATTTTTTGTAATTTTATCTACTTGTATAGTGCCCTGTGGCTTGTGTAAAATGCAGTGTATAAATCATCACCTACATAAATAAACAAGGAACATTACAAAATATAAATACCATAATGCTTAAGGATGAAAAGGGGGTGGAGAGGTGGGCGGGCAGGTGGATGGGATTGTTCCAACAAACCTTCAGTTTCTTAAAACAAACTGCTTCAAACGCAAGGCACGTGAGCCCCATCCACTTTCACAATGCCCCACCAGCTGCAACCTTTTAAACAGTCATGGCCAGGTGTGCCAACTTGAATTAAAATATTGGGGATAGGGGAAGTAAGCCCCGCTTTGCATAACTGATCACATGATGCAGTGCACACACACCATTTGAATGGCAATGTGCAGTGCTTCTTTTCTGGGGGGACGCAGGGGTACACGTATCCCTAAACATTCTGTGAATCGTTGTACTTTTCTCCATTTACTGTATTTATTTTACCCAATTTGAACTATAAAATGGTGATTTTCTTGAGTCAAAATGAGAGTACTCCTAAACTTTTTTTTAGAAAAAAAGCACTGGCAATTCCCACCATCTTTTATTGGGGGGCGGGGGCGGCAAAGACTCCTCAGTCCCTAGGAGTTGGCTTCCATGGTCATGGCTTACCCCAAAGAATCCTGGGAAGTGGAGTTTGTTAAGGATGCTGAGAAGAAGACCCTCAATTCTCCCACTCCCTCCAAATGTTATGGTAGAGGGAGAAAGTGTCTCTATCCATTTTCTGCACACCATGCATAATTTTATAAAGATCTATCATGTCACTTGCCTTTTCTCTAAGTGGTCTAAACCACTGAGCCTCTTGGGCTTGCCAATCAGAAGGTCAGCGATTCGAATCCCCGCGATGGGGTGAGCTCCTGTTGCTTGGTCCCTGCTCCTGCCAACCTAGCAGTTCGAAAGCACACCAGTGCAAGTAGATAAATAGGCACCGCTGTGGCGAGAAGGTAAATAGTGTTTCCATGCGCTTTGGTTTCTGTCACGGTGTTCTGTTGTGCCAGAAGCAGTTTAGTTGTGCTGGCCACATGACCCGGAAAGCTGTCTGTGGACAAACGCCGGCTCCCTTGGCCTGAAAGCAAGATGAGTGCCGCAACCCCATAGTCACCTTTGACTGGACTTAACCGTCCAGGGGACCATTTTACTTCTAAGCTAAAAAGTCCCAAACTTTCTTCATAGGGGACTTGCTCCACCCCCTTGATCATTTTGATTGCCCTTCTCCCCTGAAACTTTTTCGACTATATAATATCCTTTATGAGTTCAGGCTACTTCAGAGAAGAAGGCTACTTCAGAAAACAGAATGTGGCAGAGGAGACCCTTCTTCTATATGTAACAAGAGTGGTTATAGTAGGCGCAAAAGTGTTCAGGTAGCGTCAGGAACTGATTGCAGAACACCGCTGAAAGAATACTTTCCCGGTCTGTCTACAAAGATTATAGCAGAAGGAATCTCTGGCCTCCCACATATTGTTGGACTTCAACTCCCATCCACTGCAGTCAGTATAACCAATGGCCAGTGGTGATGGGACTTGAGGTCCAATGACCAGAGTGTTGATTCCCATTCTCTTCGTGTGTTTGCCTTACCACTATGGAGAGGAAAGCAAGCAAGGCGTTTTCTTGCCGCTAGGTGGCAGTGCTTTCGGGTCAGGGGCTGCACGAAATCTAATGGCAGATGCAGACAACACGAATTGGGGATTGTATTATGTTTGGCTATCTTGCAAGGGGAGAGAGAGGGGAAAATAGGATGAAAATTGTCTTAGAGAATACCTAACAATTTTCTGATCGGAAACATTTGCCTCCAGAAATAGAGATATGCACCATTCTTCTTTTTTCCCTCTTACTGGGCAATGACTCGTAGCTGAGTAAGATTGTCTTCCATAAACACGGTCTTAACAGTGAGTCCGTAAGTGACTGTGGAGGCCAATTCTGGATCCACACGTCCTTCCACAGTGGGGACATTGGTTTCTAGGCGGGAGTTGATCACGGTGTGGATTTGCCAAGCGTGCCTTCCTCTTAGCACATGGGATCAGGTGTTTAACAGGGTTGTGTTATTGCCCCAACTCTATTCATTATTATGCACTATATATTTAATACACCCCCTAATAATCCTGGAAACTGTAGTTTGTTAAGAGTGCTGGAAACTGTAGTTCTGTAAGAAGTACAATTCACGGTATTCTTTATGGGGAGGGGTGGGGGTGTATTAAATGTATGATGCGTATGCAGTCTTCATGTATCATAAAATATCATGAAATGATGAAATGATGAAAATTTGTTGCTCCATACCCCCTTTTAAAAAATGGCACCCATCCATAAATCTGACATTTACAGAAAAGTTGTGAGGAAATGTTATATATTGTGTTTTTTGCTTTGCTTTTCATATGAGATGGTGGTGATGATACAACAAGCACTGCCTTTCCCCACATGAACCAACCCAGACCCCACCCTCATCAACTGTGTCCCTTATTGTGAGCCCAAATGGAAAATATTACAGGACTCGATGACCCTTGGGGTCCCTTCCAGATCTACAGTTTCTGATTCTATAAACTTTTGCTCTGGAGCAATAATGTTTGGAATATTGCTGTTCTGGAAAAAGTTACACTCCATCTTTGAACATTGCAAGGCACAACTACACTGTGTACTTTTTAGGCTGGATACTTGCGGGATTTTAACTTTGCGTTCAAATGAACACCAACAGCAGCAACTTAACACTGGCTCCTTGTGAGATCTGGAACTCTTGAGTTAACTATATTGGTTTTGGGTTTTTGCCACAGTATAAGATAGATGATTTGTGCTGTTCTTTATCCTCATGGTTCCTTATCGTTTTTGTTTTTCTCTGTCTTTGTAATGCTGTTTATTTTTTTTAAAGATGAAAAAATAGAAAAAGAGCATGCCAATGCAAAATATATTTAAAAATCTGATTGCACCCGAGTCAACTAGGACAGAGAAGCATGGCTGCACTCCCCTTTGACAATATAAAACCCTTCCTTGTTCAGTTCCCTGCACCCTCTATCAGTAATTGGCACACAGAATTACTTTGGGGAGCAGAGAACAAAAGCAACGAAAAGCACTGAAAGCCCTGAATCATGTCCCAACCTCAACATTGCATCCTCTGCTGCATTACCGTATTTTTCACTCTATAAGACCTAACCATAAGACGCACCTAGTTTTAGAGGAGGAGAACAAGAAAAAAAATTCTCTCCCTCTCTGCTCAGCGCCTCTCCAGCAAAGCGGGGGGAGAAATGGAAGGGGCTCCATTTCTCCTCCCGCTTCGCTGAAGGGGCGCTGCACAGAGAGGGAAAGCTGCGCAGCGCCTCTCCAGCGAATCGAAGCCAGGAGAGCAAGAGGGATCAGTGCACACCGATCCCTCTTGCTCTCCTGCATTCAGCGTTTCTGAGATTCAGAATATATTTTTTTTCTTGTTTTCCTCCTCCAAAAACTAGGTGCGTCTTGTGGTCTGGTGCATCTTATAGAGCGAAAAATACGGTATGCTGACTGGTCATCTGGTGCCATTATTCCCATGACCTGCTGGGCAGCTTCTGAAAAATCAAAGTCTTTGGGCTCCAGGGGAGTATGGTTGCAAAGCTGAAACTTAATGGAATTGACAGAAGGACACCACCAGGATTGGAGCCTGTGGCTTAATTTGACTCAATACGGGAAAGCTCACCTGGCCAGGACAAGGAAAGATTGATAGCTCTTTCTTGATTCTGTGGATGGGTGGGTGGGGGGCGCATGGCCGTTCTTAGCTGGTGGAGCAATATGTCTGGTCAATTCCGATAACGCCAACTAGTTATGCCATTCCTGAGCAGTTGGAGCCCAACTTCTTAGGAGCATAAGTGGTCACTCAAGAATGAGTGATAACAGGTGCAATAACAGATAGATGGCCATCTGTCACAGATGCTTTCGTTTAGGTCCCTGCATTGCTGGAGGTTGGACTAAATGACCCCCAGGTTCCCTTCTAACTGTATGGTTCTACGATTCTGTGATTTTATGATTCTGTTGCACAAGCAGAAATCCTAGCACTAGCAAAAACACTTTGTTGATGCCATGAGCAACAGTGATGTAGTGGGGCAGGATTAGGGAGAAGGATTGTAGCATTGCCACTTTGTCTATGGCAGGAGGGATGCTGTTATCTACTGGAGTTTTTTTTGCCAATATTTTGATCTTGAAGGACGGCATATGGTAGGTTTGCTCAGCAGGCTAGACAAAGTCAGATAGTGGCATGCCAGGGATGTGAACTTAGGTCTCTACAGCCAAAGTCTGTTAGGCTAAGTAATGATGATGATGATGATTATAAAGTGTATTACTACTACTACTACTACTACTACTACTACTAAAATTTATACCACCCTTTATCAAAAGACCTCAGGGTAGTGCACAACATTAAAAACACTGCTTGCCAAATCGTAATTTTATGACTGTTGTGTGATCCTAATAGACTGGCCACTTTTGTGTATTTGAGAGAGAGAGAGAGAAATTTGCAATAGATTTTAACTGTTTTTGTATATGTAACTGCTTTGTATATGTTTGTATATGTTATTAATTTGTAAATCACCTCAGGATGCCTCATGGAAAGCGATTAGTAATACAGTGATACCTCGGATTAAGAACTTAATTCGTTCTGGAGGTCCGTTCTTAACCTGAAACTGTTCTTAACCTGAGGTTCCACTTTTGCTTTTGGGGCCTCCCGCTGCTGCCACGCAATTTCTGTTCTCATCCTGAAGCAAAGTTCTTAACCCGAGGTACTATTTCTGGGTTAGCAGAGTCTGTAACCTGAAGTGTCTGTAACCTGAAGCGTCTGTAACCCGAGGTACCACTGTACATTATTATTATTATTATTATTATTATTATTATTATTATTATACATCCTACCTTTCAGATCCTAATAGAACACTCTAGCAGGCTACTACAGGGTCAACACAATGACTGCATTTTTGGGTGTGTGACCCTTGGGTGTGTGACCAGGGACTCTGCTTGGGGGCATGGCTAAGTGTGTATAAGGGGAAGCTGTCATACTGAGCGCCTGCACTTCAGACTTTTGAATGACATCGCTGGTGAATAAGGATTCAAATCCAGCTCACCTCAGTAGTAGTTCAACACTCTAACCACCATACCTCTTGTGACAGTGGAAGTCAGCATGTAGCTTTTAGCTCTGAAAAGTGCACCCCAGGAACTTTTGCAACACTGCGGTGAATGTTGGTGCTCCAAATGTCATGTGCTGGTTGCCTCTATACACTTGCATGGAATGCAAATCCAACCCCACCCCCCACCTTAGCATTCTCCCCACCCCTCCCTTAACATCAACAGAGCTGTCAGTCACAAAAGAGCATACCTAATACTTAATAAGGAATGCCACATCTTAGAGACATTAGAAACAGATGTCACTGCATTACTTCACTGCTGATGTATGTAATAGAAATGACACTCTAATTAATTTAATGCAGTATAAAAGGACTGATTATTTATCATGGCTGACAATAAAATTAAGAAAACATTCAATTACAATCAAGAGTAATTCATTATTTATTGATTTTGCATTATGCACATATTAATACAATGTGTTTAATTACACAGAAGACGGTATCATTTCTCTATTGACAATCAACCCTTTGAGTCAATTTCACCGCCCCGCCCCCCATTTCATTTCAATAGGGAGTTTTAGGATATACTTCTAGCAGTACCAATCTGTGAAATACCAACCTGGTGCCCTCCATATGTTTTAGACTACAACTCCCATCATCCCCAGCCAGCAGATAGGTTGGTGAGGCCAACCATAAGTATCCCTATGTGAGAACAGTTAAGTATGTATGCTTGTGTGTGCACTTCTCAATGTAGTAGCCTCAGATCTGCATCTTAGCATTGCTAGAGACTGTTGCACGTTCTGAATCTATCACTGTATGGTGCTCATCAGACATAGGGATGGGTTGATCTGTCAGTTTTATTTTTGCTTAGCTTCTCATCTTTCCACTCTTTGGTTCAGTTCCCCACATTTCTCAGTGAGTTTGTATTTTAAGAAAAAGGGTCTTACAAAAATTCTTCAGTATTTTAATGTGCATTTTGTGTGTGTGTTCGCAAAGAAATTTGCTGACTATGTATTTTTTTTGGTATTGCTGGCTGCATACACACTAACAGCTTAAAATGCAGTGTTTCAATTTGCACATTGCTGTACACACCAGAGGGGGCGGGGCAGGGATATCTTCATCCAATGAACACTACCTGTATCCACACACCTTCAGCGCCCAGAACTCCTTTTAATGAAGCTGTCATCTGCACATGTGCAATGGCTGTCTCAGAGGTACACACATCAGCCTAACTGGGAAGTGAATGTGGCTTATGTTTTCAAACTAGATGGAAGCCAATTTGAGGGAAAATTAGGCAAAACAACTGTATTGCGCAAGAAACTACAGGATATTTATGGATTTTGACTAACGTCACGTGTACACAATGATGTGTGCTTTTTAATGCACACTTTCTCATTGGGGTGGGGTTGGAGGACCATGTTGCAAAATTTGGAGAAGTGTGGATTTTGAAAGACAGCTGTGTTTTGGTTCGTCTTTTGTTTCAGTATGAACAAACTAGAGAGGGATTGAACCAAATTTCTCCCCTGCCCTCAGTCTGTTGGGGTAGATGCTGGAGACATGGTCATAGGTAGAGGTCAGACACCATATCAGGTGAACAGAGCTTAAGGGCCATGTTCTGGCTAGTTTTGTTCGAAGCTGCCTAGGAGGTGTTTGTTCTTAAAATTCTTTGAATTAGTAACTCTGGAGATTCCTACTGCACATACATGCATGCTATCAATATTTGCCAACCTGATGCCCTCCAGATGTTTTTCGACTACAACTCCCACCAGTCCCAACCAGTGTGTGCTGGGTGGGGCTGATGTGAGTTGTAGTCCAACAACATCTGGAGGGTATCAGGTCAGCAAAGGCTGTTTGGAATACACAAAAACATTTCTCCCAAATGGGTTGAGGAGAGTGCTTTTACTAGGGACAACTACTTTGGGACATTTCATGGTAAAAAGGCAGCAGTTGGAAGGTACGAGTACAGTGGTACCTCAGGTTACAGATGCTTCAGGTTACAGACTCGGCTAACCCAGAAATAGTTAAGAACCCAGAAATCGGGTTAAGAACTTTGCTTCAGGATGAGAACAGAAATCGCACGGCGGTGGCGCAGCAGCAGCGGGAGGCCCCATTAGCTAAGGTGGTACCTCAGGTTAAGAACAGTTTCAGGTTAAGAACTGACCTCCAGAATTAAGTTCTTAACCAGAGGTACCACTGTATTGGGGTCTGAAGAGACCCAGAAGTTTGCAGTCTCACAAATCCCTCCCCAACCCAACTATTCTGTCTGCTATAAAACAAAATCCCAATTACTTGCTCTTTTTGTAGCATGGATGCTGTCAATCCATTTATTTATTTTTATTTGTACTGAAAAGTGCTCCGATATTCCCCCCCGGTTGCCAGTATCAAGTGGAGAGGTTAAAAGTTAGTTTTCGAAAGCTCAAATGGGGAGATATATTAGATTAAGAACTATCACTTGTGATATGAGGCTGCTGGGCCTCCATTTTGGTGGGAGCCTAAATAAGCTGCCAGACCCAGGAGGCTGCTGTTGAAAACGGTGCCTTCAGTTCACAGAAGGAGTGGCCAGACTTCAGAACTGCTGAATCTGTGTGTGTGTGCGTGCGCACGCGTGCGTGTATGAACCTCTAGACTTACCATGCAAAAACTCCCAGATTTAATCATTGGCATTTGCAGGTAGAAAGACCCATCTGAAACCCTAAGAGCTGCTGCGAATCAGTGTGGACTAGAGGTGTGGTGGGAGACCTCTGGCTTGCATGCCTTATTAAGCTTGATAAGCCACTGTGAGAACAGGATGCTGCACTAGATGGGCCACTGGTCTAAACTTGTGGCCCCCCAAGATGCTGTTAGATTCCACCTCTCTTTACGCCCAGCCAGCATGACCAATGGTCAGGGATGATGGGAGCTGTAGTCCAACAACATCAGGAGAACCACAAGTTCCCCTTCCCCTGAATTATAGATTATGATAGGTAGGGCTGGATACAGGTTTGAGGGGGCCCTGAGCAATGTGCCCCCTTCTCCATCAGTGAGCCCTGGCAGACTTACCTGGTGGCAATGGAGCAGCAGTGTTTTTAACCAACATTTTCACTTCTCCCAAGAGTCCAAAGTGATGCATAATCTGGGGAAATTAAGATGGCACCTGGGCCCAGGGGCCTAATCCTTTTTATTGTGCATTCATGATGATTTGTGCCCATGATCATGACTGCAACTGGAGCGGTTGTACACGATCCTGCTTTCAACACTGTTCATGCTTTCAGGGAAGGAACATTTCAGGGTTCGGGGCAGACCTATAGCTTCATTTCCAGCTGGTGCATTTCTGCTGAAATCCTGTAACTTTTCATATGGCAGATGTTCCAGGTGTGTGTCCATCCTACTTTTGTTGGTGCAAGAGTGTCCCTCCAGGTGACAATAATGCAGTAACATTGGGGAGGCATTGCAGGGCAACTAACAAAGCAGAATGAGGTGTGGATGAGGAGTATAAACCCACCAGAAATGCACTCTTATTGTGTCCTTGTAAAGGACAGCAAACCATGATCTCTGATCACTTGGCTCATCCTTACGTGTAAACACAGTCAATACACGAAAGATTCAGAGTACTTTTAAAGCTGCCAATATATTAAAACTGGGTCATATGCTGGAGCATCTTTGTTTTACCCTGAGAAATTATGGGAAATAATCCTGCGGACTAATGTAGTCAGCTCTTCCATGCTCAGGTGAGCTGGGCCATTGCCTGGTATTAATTCACAAACCTTGAGCCTTTCCTTAGAGTAAGTGCAGTTCTCTTCTCCATGGATAGTCGCTTCTCAAGGGTACCGTTTTTTACTACAGCCTTTATGATTTTATATTGCTGCATGCCACTCTAACATGCAGGGTGGGAGGGAGTTGGGGGGGTGATGCGCAAGACTTCATCTGGCCTTGCAAAAACTCAGCCTTATTTAGAAATATATTTAGCCTATGGAAGGCATTACAGTCCAAAGCTGGGGAGGGGGGTAAATCCCAGAGAGTGGAATTTGATAGTCTCATTAATCTGCAAGCAAAAATTCCTTGAAAGGGAGGAAAGGAAGGAAAACAACAACAATGCAAAACCTATAAATCAGATTTATATTTCCTGCTCAAAGACCTTTGCATGTTTTTGTTTTTGTTGTTTGCAGCTGAAGATACAAACCTTAAAAGTGGATGGAACATAAGAAGAGGGACAAAATCCTTTGGCTGGCCAGGAATTCTTCGGAATGTTTGAGCTCACTATCTCTCAGCTTTTGTTCTCTCTCTCTCTCTCTCGGGAAATGGGGGTGTCACAATGACCTCCTTTGGTGGGTTATCGTGAAGATGAATGATAGAATGGCTGCAATGTAGCTTTGGAATCCTAAACCCAGGGGTACATTGCACTGAAGGTGGGAGGTCTAGTAGGTGCAAGGGCAGAGTAATCTTAAAAGGGGCTAGGGAGGAACAGGAGTAGCAGGATCTGACAGTTTCAGTTTTATCCATTTCTCATTTTAAATTCTGTTCTCCACATTTCTGCAGCAATTATTATTATTATTATTATTACTATTATTAAAACCCTTATGAAAACTCATTAGCATTTTTAGTGCTGATTCCTCCCTAAAAACACATTTTTGTATGCTGTTCTCCCTAATGTACACTTTTTGTGAGCGATTTCCCAAAACATAAGGCATTTGGGGTGTTATTTTCACTAATATCTTCATTTTTATGCACACTTTCCCCAGATATGTGCATTTTGGGTAAACGTTGGTTGATTGGAAATCTGCATTGCTACATTTATATAAGTTTGGATTTTGGTTCACATACTGTTTTGGAAACTGTGAATTTGAAAGATTTGCTAGTAAATGAGTACTGTATCAAATTTCTGCCCCATTCCTTCTGCCCCCTGGCAAATTCACCAGTGCACCCGCACTCCTGCTGTCTCCTGAACTACAACTCCCATCTGCTTCACGCAGTTAACACAGCAAATGCTATACAGAGATAATGGGAGTTGTAGTTCAGCAACATCTGGAGGGCCAAAGATTCCCTTCATCTGAGCTAAACAAAGAGTTCTAGTGAACTAAAAAAAATTGCTAATGATTTGGCAATATTTCGGTTGGTCTTAATAAATGTAGTATGATAGTGTGGATTTGGGATTAACATAATGAAAGAAAAAGTCCAACCTATTTACTTACAGCACAGTCTTGCTCATGTTTACTCAAATGCAAGTCCTGGTTCCAGGGTATGGTTTGAGGCTACTACCTTAATATAGCCAAGTAAGTCTGGGTCTGGTCAGGATGGGAGACCACTAGTGAACCACATCTTCTGGTTAGTTCAGTTGGCTAGGGCATCGTGCTGATAACGCTCAGGCTGCAGGTTTGATCCCTGTATGGAACAACTGCATATTCATGTATTGCGGGGGTGGGGGGGCGGACTAGATGATTCTCAGGGTCCCTTCTAACTCTGTGATTCTATGTATGTATGTAGGCTTGGGTGGTGGGTAATAAATCCCAGGATGGTGGGTAATAAATAATAAATGTAATAATAAATGCAATAAATGTATAAGTGTATACAGTATACACATTGTGTTCGAGGGTGCTTTGTCCCCGGTAAACGTGGCACAGGATTTCAGAATTGTAGCAGTTGTGCACTGAGTGAGTACTCAGAAAGTTAACTCCTAGGTTAAGCGTGCACGAGACTGCAGCTCTCCATATCTCGCATCCCTCAGTCGGATGCCTTAAGTCCCACTGAGCGAGATCCTCGGCGGAGGTTCGCCCTCGCAGGATCAGACAGCACCTCTTGCGCACTTGGCTCAGAAATCCGGTTGAAAATTCAAGCGCGCTCGCGGCTTTATTTCCCAGTCACCTGTGCCTCTAGTCGGGGGCGCGCGCAAACTTCCCCGCCACCACACCTCAAGTTTTAACTTTCTTTTCTGCCCCCCTCCGCCCCATCTCTCGCCGCGGTTTTCTCTTTCTCTAAGTCATAAAAGGTTTACTCCCGCCCCACCTCACTCCCGCAGCTAGAACGCTCAGCCCTTTTCCAAAAAACGCAACCTCGGGTCGCAAACTCTCTTCCACTTTCCCTTTCCCTCCTCCCCCAGCTGGGTGGGAGCGGTACCCTCCTCTCGATGCGTCCCGGCGCTCCATTCACAGGTACCCAACGCTCGGGGGCAAGGGAGAGAGGGCCCCGCCCCGCCCCGCCTCGCCTCCCTCTCCATCCTTAGCCAGTGGCTGGCGGCCAGGCTGAGACCCCGACGCGTCGCATTGGCCGCCGGCCGCTGCCGCTCCGCGCTCCTCCTCCGCCCCTTCGCTGGGAAGTGGGAGGCGACTCCGCGAGCGGCTGGGTCGTGGGAGTGCGCGCGGGGTGTTTTTTCCCTCCCCTCTCCCCCACTTCTTCCCCTTTCTCTCCTCTCTCGCTCTGCGTCTCCGTCTCCTCCGTTTCCTCGAGTGCTGCAAACTGTTTCGGGTGGAAAAGTGGAGCCGGCAAGGTTGGATGCTGTAGCTGCCGCCGCCGCTGCCGCCGCCGCCGATGATCCAGGCGCCCGGGGCGGAGTAGAAAGCATGGCCGTGTCTTCTCCCCCGATTATCCCGGCAACTTCGAGCGGCGGCGGCGGCAGCGGGGGCAGCGGCGGCACCGGCAGCGCCAGCAGCGCCGCCAGCGCTGGGGGCTTGTTCCGGGCGGACGCGCTCTATCCCTCCAGCCCGTCGGAGTCCCCGCGCCTGACGAGCAGCCTCATCCACAGCTTCATCGCCAGCACCGCCAACGCCGCCACTGGCGTGCCGGGCAGCGGAGCTGGAGCAGGAGGAGGAGGAGGTGGCGGCGGCGGCGGGAACGAGTGCAAGATGGTCGACCTGCACGGGGTGAAGGTGGCTTCATTCCTGGTGGACGGGCAGGAGCTGATTTGCCTGCCGCAGGTCTTCGACCTCTTCCTCAAGCACCTGGTCGGAGGGCTGCACACCGTCTACACCAAACTCAAGAGGCTGGACATCGCGCCCGTGGTGTGCACCGTGGAGCAAGTGCGTATCCTGCGCGGGCTGGGCGCCATCCAGCCCGGCGTCAACCGCTGCAAACTCATCACGAGGAAGGACTTCGAAACTTTGTACAACGACTGCACCAATGCCAGGTGAGAGAGTGTGAGAGAGAGAGAAAGAGCGCGTGCGTGCGTGTGTGGGTTTGTCCCTGTGAGGGGTGTATTTTTTGGGGGGGGGCATAGGATATGGCTGTTCAGGCCTCCCCCTCCACCGGGGTCCCGACCGTAGTGAGGAGCAGAGAGGTCCGAGTCCCTCCGGCCACGGCTCCCTTCCCTGAAAAAAACGGGTCCGATTGAGGGAAGCGCCCCTTTCCGTGGCTGAGTGGGACGTCGAAAGTATCCCAAGTGCTTAGCTCGTTGTCTTCCTGAAGCTGAATGGATGTTGCGTGCCTCTTTTTCTTTTTAAAATCACCCGCTTTTTTATTTGGGAACAAATCCCGTTAGGTTTCTGTGATGCTTCCTCTAAAAAGTAGGGTACGCTGCTTTTTTCCTTTGCATCAGATCACAGTTCTGTATAAATCCGACATCCATCTAATTGCAAAGTCCTAGGGCAGGTCAAGAGAATTGTGTTTTGAAGATCCCACGTGTGCACAAAAAAGTTTTAAGCCTTGTCCAATTTGCTTGAAACAGGAAAATGAGGGAGTAAGGAACCACTGATGTGAGAGATGCAAACAGGTCTTTGTGAAGTGCAACTTGCTTGGGTTTTGATTAAGAAAGAAAAAAGTTTATTTGGAAGGGAACGAGGGAGTTATTTTAAGGGAACGAGGGAGTTATTTTAAAACGCTTTGGAAGGGACTTGCCTGAGGAGTTGCAATTAAAATCAGTGGGCCAGGGGTGGCGGGTGGGTTGGAACCTTAAGCAAACTTAACTTCTGAAAGTTTAACCGCATTGTAAGTGATGGGAGTTGGTAGGGAAGCATGTGCTCCTCATCACTGATGATTTGGGATAGATTTGAGCGGACCTACTTGGACATTAGGCTCACAGAAATCCTAAGTGGGGCTTGTTTGCGTGGAGGCGAACAAGCTGCAGCTGTAGGCAAACTTACTTAGGAGTAAATTAGGCTGCAGCTGTAGGCAATCTTAGTCAGGAGTAGTGCTTATCAAAATTGGTCAGATTTGACCCAGTACATCTAATGCTTAGTAGATGTTCAGACAAATGCATTTATCACGGGTGCCCTGTGCTGGGTGCGGTTACCTGCAACTGAGTGGGAAACACTGGGATGTATGGCCAATTCACACATTATGTTGGACACTGGTTCTGTGGGTAGTATCCTAGTACCTGTATATAAATGATGGGTTTTATATTTGCCTGGTGATCAATATTACACACTGGTAGGAAAATTCTCCAAGAGTAGAAAAATTTTCAGAGGGGAAATACTTAGCATGAGTAATATAGTTCTTTGAACATCACTGGGTGCACTTAGAGGACTATCTTGTAGATTACAGCAACCTTTACTTCCAACTGCAGGCATTTAAAGAGTGGTTGTTTAAAACTTAGCTTCTTTGAAAGTAAGCTACTTTGATTGGGACAAGCAGATTTTGTTTCCCCAAGCAAATAGGGTTAGGAGTAGGGTATTTAGTATGGGCTTACCAGGAAGTAAGTTCAAACGAAAGGAATGCAACTTTTATATCTGTAAAAAGTGGTAAAATTTTCAACATTGAGGGCCATCCTCTTCCTTTTGATAATGAAACCCTGTTTGTGTCTACCCAGAAGTAGCTCCCATTCAGCTCAATGGGACTTGCATTCAGATAGAGTGCGCATACGATCACAGCCTAAAAGTGCAGTCAGGAGTGAATCCCATTGAGTTCAATGGGCCTTGTTCCCAGGTACGTGGTTATCTGATTGCAGCCCTTACGATGCAATAATTAGCATGTTATATTAGGAACATGTGTATTTAGGGTTGCAGCTTAAACGAATCAGCAGGTGAGCATACCTGCACCTGAGTTTTAGGAAAAGTAGCTGCAGGAGCCGTGAGATGTTTCCTGGCTTCCCTTTGTTTTTCCTGATAAGTTTTTGTCAGTGGGGAGGGTCCCCCTCCCCATCTCCTTCTTTATCCTGTTCATCATTTCAGGATAAATTCAACATGGATCGTTCTTTTTCCCTCTGCCCCATTTTTCTTAGTTTTGTATAGTGTGTGGTCTGAATGCCTGCCCTGCCAGGTAGCATTATTGGGGTATAAGCAACTAAAAGCCCCAGGGGCACCTTGGTGTCTGCAGTCATGTACCCTTGGTGCAGTAGGTGAAATGGTGTGGCAGGCCAGGGAATCTCTCTTTGTATTCATCCCCCCACCCAAAAAATTGCACCAATTTCTCTGTGTTGTAAGATTCCAAACATGGCACAAAGTTGGTCGGTCCAGAAACTGGAATTTGTGGGTGCTTCTTCCCTGTCAGTGGAAGTCTTATTGGACTAGCTCTGCCTGGTGTAGACCCCCATATGGTCTCTTCAAATCACTGACCCTAAATCTCATTGACCCTAAATCTTCTGTCCTCATTAGGATGCTCTTTGCCCAAAGGAGATTGTGGCTGAATTACATTATGCAAAGAAGTGTGTCCCAACTTTTCCTAATAGTGATAGACTATACGGGGTTGAGATGTTCATGTATCTGGTATCCTTGTCCTGAGAATAACAAGGTTCACAGTTGTGGTGAATGTTAAAAGGAGAGAAGTGCGTTTTTCAAATGTGTAGTAATAAATTTCTTTCTTTTTCTTTTGCAATTGTTTGGCAATCATTTTTGCAATAGTTTTAACGTTCATGGAAGGATATACTTCTTTGCATCAAAACAGCACACACATACTTCATCTTCCTCTGAAGATGAAGAAAGTTCCCTGTTAGATACTATTTTCGGTGAAACTTTACCTGTTAGGATCTTGCTAGAGGTTGTGAACATAACTTGTGATGCTGAAGCAGTTCATTAGTACTGCAAATGAAGTGGGGGGAAATTCACAAGAGAGCATTGTGAGATAGGAACCTAAGAACTGAAGGAGAGTTTATAGACTAACTGTTGCTTAGCATAATTCTGGAGCAATATCATGAGCTAGTTAGCCCAGTGAGTTAGGAGGGTCTGTTCTGTTATCTCCTTTGGAACTGTTTAAAAGCAGCTCGGGTCCAGGAAACTGTGAAGAAGCTTCTTCAAATTTTAGGGTGCTTAATTCCATTATTAATTGATAAAGAAATGCATGCAATGTAAGCAAGAATCTTCAGGACTCTATGATGAAAATAAATAAATAAAAGCTTGCATTGGATCCTAAAACCTGAAACTATTAAATAATTTTTATTAGATTCCTCGCCACTCCCATCTTCTTCTTTAGGGAAGGACCTGCATTAAAAACCTATTATACATTTGCACATGAGCAAATAAAGCATGTTTTAGTTGAAAAAACCACATGGCAGTTTGATTAGGTCTATTGTGACTCATTGTGAGGTAAATGTTTTGCAACTTTTTTGTCCGCAATAGGAGCCTGGTGGTTGGTTACATGTTACTATAGGAAAGTGCTGATCTTCCGTACAAAAGTGGGACTTGGATAAAACATGTTCTGCACTTGCTGGGGAAGTGTCCTACTCCCTTAGAAACTGATAATTTCTGCAAGACTAGGCTCTTGATCATCACATGTTAATTGTCGGTTTGGCAACAGGTAAAATTCTAGAGCTGCTCAGAGCACTTAACTCTTGCTCACATCCGTATCTATTCAGTAATTTAGGTGCGTATGTGACGGAACAAATTCTACTTCGGGGTTGATTGTTTATATGCAAAGTCTGAGGTTCAAACAAATGGAGAACACTGCATATAAAATGCCTAGCTTTTATTTAGCAGGTGAAATCTACTTACTAAGTAACTCAAAATCATGATCTGATCTACTCACACAAAGGTGGTGCTCCCATGCCAAATACAAACTGCTTGGTGACTCTCAAATCAATTTGTGGTATGGCTGGCGGGCAGGGGGTCTGTTTCAAGAATAAAGAGTTTAAAATTTCACAGGTTGGCTCAAATTCCTGGGTAGTTCTTTAGATTGAGGGATGCAGACTTCAGGCTTGCAGGACTTTCTTGGTGTTTTACTAGAATTCTGAAATCTCCCAACTGTAGTCAAGTGCAGCATACAAGCACTTTGAAATAAAACAATTCTGAGCCCAGGGTTTTCTTTTAAGTACGGAATTCAAGGGAGCTTTTGGTTCACTCTGAGTTATTCCTACCTTCCTTCATTTCACAGTACTTTTTCGGGAGGGGGCAGAAGGGGGAAAAGTTTTTTTGTTGCCGTCCTTGCTAAGCAATTAAGGGACAGGAATCTTTGCTGGTCCAATATAAATAGGAAGATCTACCAGTAGATTTACCGTCCTGCCTGCTTAAGATCCGGTTCCTGGTTCTTAATTTTGTGTCCGGCACCATGCTAGTTGACCACTGCCCTTCGTTAACAGGGCAGCACATTTTGCTGACAACATAACTGCAAAAAATCCAGTGGGAATTGCAAAGTTCTTAACAAATGTCTTTTGACATTCTTGGGTCCAGTTGGCACTGAGTGGAAGATGGGCTCTTTTGAGCCATTGACAAAACCTGCTGGAGGAGAGTTATGAAATCGGATGTAATAATGGATAAATCTGATGGGGCAGCCTGAAAGCAAGAGGCTTGGAAGCATGGAGAAACAGAAAATGTGAATATGGGAGAGCTATTTGCGCAGCAGATATGGAATACAGAGATAGGGAAAAACAGCTGCTGCCTCCCAAAGTGAAACAGGAAAAACTCAAAACTGTTATGTGTGTTTTGCTAGTTAGATTTTTTTCAAGTCTGCTGCTACAGCTAACTCAGTGGCCCTTGTAGCTATTATTTCTAATTGTTTCTGCTTTCTGTTTAATTTCAACTCTCTGATCAAGTTGTTCTGATAGCAATTATCAATCTTGCTGGAAATGAATTACTGCATTTTTATATTAATCATCCTGTGAGATACTTGTTTTCGGTTTTGACTCAGCCACCAGATCAAATGAATCCATCCATCAAAACAAATCTACTTCAGATCTTGATTTCAAATCTGTGTCATTACATGTGTGGATCATATGTACTAGAATCTTCTCTTATGTCAACATTTCTGAGTTAGATACACACATATAAGATGAATCCAACAGTTTCCTCTTGCAGGGTCACCTACACTAATTCAGTGCCTGTACCTGGAAAGTGAAATTGTCAAGATGATATTACTGAGCAGGTGGGATAATTTTTTCCTGTATGCATTCTTCAAAAATATTGCTCAGTCATTGCACAAGTCAAGTTATGGGCTGTTTTGCTCGCCAGTCACCACCACAACAAAAAAGTTACAGCCACTTCAGATTGCCCTG